CTGAGATGTGTGTGGCAGAACAAGAGACTGCACCTCACTGCTTCAGATGGGTGTGTTTGGCCACGAGGAGCTGTGCCCCACAAAGGACGTGAGAGGAGAAAGGCTTTTTAGCTAATTACTTGATGTTTAAGGATCCACACCACCAGGACCCATAAGGGTCCACCCCAAAGAGCAGGAAGTTGAGCAAAAGGTGTCATGATCTTGCCCAGATGACCAAGCTACTCATGGCAAAGCTCAGATTTAAGAAGGAAGTAGAGACTGGAGGCAGACACGGGTCACCTGGGAGGCACACAGGGACACTGCGGGACACACTGTGGAGGCACAGGGCTGGGAAGGTCCAAGCCTTCCTGGAGATGAATCTGCAGTCACTACAGCAGTGGGTGAGAAAAAAAGTTGGTTCGTGGAGTGTGTGGGCCTGGGGGCAGGACTGCCCTTCTGGGCTGCCTTCCTGGTCCTGTCACTGACCTGTTGGGCCACCTCGGTGCACATCTCATAGGGTCCTTAGGACCTTCAGCCATTAGATGCTTGGTCACCTTACGGATTTTCTTCTCCAGAGCTTGATGCATTGCAAAGGGATGAGCACCCTCCATTTTGGCTACAGACAACGAGTGTTAGCGTTTCATGCAGCATGTTTGTCAAACCAGAGCTAGGTTAGCTGGAAAATCCCTGGCAGGCAAGATATAGGTCCCTTTGGTTTGTGTGCAACTGGGAAGAGCTTTCCCATCAGCAGCTTCCAATAGGGACTCCTTCCATTAACTATGTCAGGGTAGAACCCAGTTTGTCTCCAGTAGCTCTTTACTCTCAGCTAGGAAGCTTTACGTAGCAATGCTAGTAAGAACACTTCATTATATTTTGAGTTTCCAGTAGCAACTGTCTAAAAGTCAGGGCATTACATTTGGCCTTAATGCTTGAGGTGCTTTGTTAGGATTCTATCAGAACGTCAAGCTGCAGAAGAATAAAATATCTTTGTCATAACCACTGAGAGAAAAAGGTGATTGCTGTTTTTAACATGACATCTTTTATAAATAGAACCATATAGTCATGGAATTAAATATAATACACAGTAGTTTATGCAAGATGCCAGTACTAAGAAGGGGCTAGAAATAACTGGTGAATCTTCTAATCCATAAAGAAAAATTGCAGGAAGATTTCAGCTCGTGCCAAGAAAGTCACTGCAAGCATGAATACAAGTGTTTAATTTGCATGATAAGGACTGCCTTCCCTTCCAAAACTCCTTTACCTTCTTTCTGCCTACTGAAATCAGAAGAAACGACACTGCAGACACCATTTATTTGATATATTCTCCATGCTACTGCATGGAAAGGAGGTAGGACCCATAAACATCTTGGGCCTTGAGTACTTTATGCAAGACACTAAATTCTCCTCAAAGCATCTGTATTCAATGCTGGTTGCCAATATGGGGCAGGATTGTGTTCTGCATTTCCTTTGTCCTGCAGTCAGCCTCTTCACTCCACAGTAATTCTGCAAGTCTGACTCTTCATCCATTGCACTTCTTCAGTTATTTATTCAGTATCAAATTCTGCTCTGTGGAAGAATGTCCTTTAGATGCACCTACTGTGCTGTCACCCGCAACAGCAAGAGGAGTGTAGGAGGGAAAAGGGGGTATCACCAAAATAATCTACAGTGCAACAAGTTCCTAGGACATGAAGGACGGGCAATGTGACCAAGTGACTTGCTGGCCGCTGCCACACTGTAGAACTGAGACCTTGCTGGAGAACCTCATGATGACGGGGCCAGGCAGTGCCCCAGGCCCACGCGGCATCAGCTTATGAGTCCATGGGACACGCTCCTCATCAAACACTGCCTGTGCTGGGGCAGCGATTCTCCTAACCAGGTTTCTTTAATCCAGCAGTTTGTGTCACTCCTGACTCATGCTGCTTCTGTTCTCTAGATGCACCAGCCCAGCTACCCAGCCGTACTTGCTCTGAACTCAAACTGGACTGCAAAATCTCAGACGCTTGAGTGCCAAGTTGTACTCTGAACTACATGGTGAAAGTTAAATTAATTCCACCAAAAAAAAAAAATATATATATACAGAATGAATAATCAGACATAGGTCTTTCATTCCATTTACCACTGACCTGTACATTGACTGATCAGTGTCTATAAATACCTCAAGGGAGGGAGTGAAGGGGGCCGGCCTCTTTGCAGTGGTGGCCAGCGATAGGACTAGGGGAAATGGTCACAAACTGAAGCATCAAAAGTTCCACAGGAACTTAAGGAAAAATTTCTTGACAGTGAGGGTGCCAGAGCCCTGGAACAGGCTGCCCAGGGAGGTTGTGGAGTCTCCTTCTCCGGAGATCTTCTAAACCCGCTTGGATGCCGCCCTGTGCCCCATGCTCTGGGTGACCCTGCGTGTGCAGGAGGGTTGGACAAGATGATCTCTAGGGGTCCCTTCCAACCTTAAGGATTCTGTGATTCTATGATCCTATGATTTCCATTCTCCATGGAACTCTTGGGTTTCTTTACTCTCACAAGTCACACAGCTAACATTTACGATTTCAACACTGGAAATTGTTTATTGTCCCTTAATTCCAAGAATTGTGCAACAAACAAAGCAAGCAAGTAACCATGGAAATTGCGGTACAGGAAAAAAAAAGTTTCAACAATATGAAACTGTGTTTAATTTTAATTATTGAAAATGCCAATCCTTCATATACTGGATGTGGCTAATTCATTAAGTATATACAGTAACTAATATAGATTATGTGCTAAAAGAGAAAATCCTTACTACTGTCCTGTGCTTCAGTTACTCCATTTCTCTCTTCAGTCTCTCCTTTCCTTTCTCTGTCTTTATGCTTTTCCTTCTTCTTGCTTATGTACATCCTGCTAAAACAAAAATCAAACATATGCTTCAAAGGGGGGTATGTCAGACATACCCTCTGCCCAGGGCCATTTTTATGTAAGAAGAGCTCAGAGATATGGTTCTAAGTATCAGTCATGTTTATTGTCCTGTTAAGAAAGGACTTTTGCAGGGTACTGTCCTTGCAAATTCTGCGAAGCAGTTGTGTCCTGCTGATTCTAGGAACTTTGTTAGGAAGCCACCAAACAGCCAGTCCATGAATACATATTGGATTGTATAAATTACAGCAAATATTACTTGAGTATGAAAATATTTCCCAATTCATATATTCAAAGTGTATAACAAACTGTTATTATCATAAAAAGCTATCAAACGTGTAACTATATAACTTAAACAATCTAGCACTTAGAGCAGTACTCCAACGGTTTAGTGACTCACCTGAGAACAGCACTGATACATCCCTTTGAAACATATATTTTACATAAAACCAGCACTGAGCTCAAAGTAAAATATTATTCCCTAAAAAAGGTGCCAAACTCTTGTGTTCACCTCTCTCCTCACTACCCAGGCTCCATAGAGCCCTGTGATACAGCAGAGCAACCTGGACAAACAGTGTCTTCATCCCCAGGACATGGGGATGGACCATCTTCCGAGATGTGAATTTAATCCTATGGGCCCAAACAGGACATAAAACACAGCTTGTGCTTCCTGGGCAACACCTTCAGGTGCACATTGTGGGGACAGGGTCAACACATGGAATTACAGCCTCGATAGGTCATGTCTAACTGTCTGGGTTTCTCCAAAGATGTGGGTGGCTGATGACCCAACTAAAAAATTTAAGAGCATTTTACCATGCACCATTCCCTGTTCCTTTGTACAAGTACTCCTCAGCACACAGGATTTTAGCATCCTGGAACTTTGAAGTTAAATAAAGAGCCTCTCAATGAAAATAAATGCCCACATAAGTGGAGGCAGGATTAAACTCTTGTTTGGAACTGAAATGACTTTAGGCCCTCGCCTTGCATGGCCAGCAGGTCTCTAGGACACTGGCACTCATTCTGCAATACTGAAGATGATACCATTTCTCCACTAAAGTTTCTTATTGCTCTGATTCTTATTGTGATATCAACCAGATATATGAATTTCAGTGTTACCTTAACACTGGTGCAGTCTTAGAAAGACACTTCATTATTTGTTTTGGTGATAGTAGGTAACTGCATAAGTCATGATGCAAGCTGGAAATGCTGAAGAGTTTTCCACTCAACTACCTATTTCATCCTAGTACCCATCTCATGAAGGCCTAAGATCTAAGACTTTCAAAGAATGAAAAAAAAGTTAAACATATGAAAAGAAAAAATGCTTCCCCTGAATATTTGAAGATTTTTTACTTAGAAAGTAACTTGAAGTAACCAGGGCCTGTCTTCAATACCATTTTCTCAATTCTTACACATTAGAAATATTTCTGAAGCAAACTTCTTACAACCCCAAGATTTCAGAAAGCTGAATGTCTTAAGATCACTTTTTTTTATAGGAAGAATCTAAATTTAAAAAAAGTCCTCAAAAATATGGTAAAATATCATTAAGTTGCACAGACTTTTTAATTTTTTTTTTTTGTGAAACTGATAGTCCTTTGTAAAGAAGACAAGAGATACATACATACACTTTCCAGTACTTCTGCAAGGCTTTGGGGAGTAAATTTGAATTCAATTGAATTCTTTTATGAACTAAGTTCAAAGAATTATGTAAAGCTCCAGTCTATGATGCTGTAAGATCAGACACCTGCGGAACGAAGAACTGAAGGGCCCAGACACAGCCAGGCTTTCTCTGTTGACCCTGATAAAGAAATTCCACCTTTGGAACACCAAGAAGAAGTCCCCTCTCCACAGCTCATAGCACTTCCTTTTAGGAAAGTCTGCTTTCTCAATGCCAGCTGTCAAATGTATTTTTATACTTACTGATTATTTGTTATTAAAACCAATATTATTTAACACATTCTTTTACTTGGATGTGAAAGTGCTTTAATCAAAACAACATGTACCTATTTATCAAAAGAAACAAAATACTGCAGTAAACACAAATCCAATAAGCCAATGACTTTTTTTTATTCACTTTGTACTACCACAGTCTAGTCTGAACATTTTTTTTCCCTCAAAGTCATGCATATTCCACTGGACAGTACAAAGTATTCACGACAGTAACATTCAGATGCATTACTTGGGTGACAAATAAAAATGCTGGAATACTATACTCCTGAAATAAAGAAGCAGGCATATAGTTCTAGCTCCAGCATCACATATTGTTTTTAAAACAGCCAACAACCAATTTTTCTTTCCATAACCACACAATAAGCATTGTACCAGGGAAAGATCATGCAACAGATATTCCATTAAGTTCAGATGTCACACTCACACATTAACCTCACAATATTTTAATATAGCTCAAGTGGTTGCATCTATTTAGAGCACTGATTGTGGAACTGGGTACCTATAATAAATAATGCATTCACTAAATCAATGATGAGGCATTCCCTTATAAATAACTGCCAATTCTAATGATACATCAAGACAGTCCTCCCTATAGACCTAGCAACTTTCTACCCAAAGCTCACAAAGTCAACAGCAATTACTGAACACATGCAGAATAAAAATGCCAAAATGGTATCTTAAGATTAAAATTTCAACAGACGAAATATTATGCTGCACACTTAGTTGACGTTTTAGTGCAGTTTGGTAAGGGTATCACAGGTTGAGATATTTAATCATTTGGCATCTCTTGCACCATGGAAAAAAGTGCATGGTCTTTACTGGTAAGGAAGGAGGCTTCACTGGAATATTTGAAAGGAATAAATATTGTATCTCCCAATAAGAAGGTAAAGCCACAGAGTTATTTTCCTGGTGAAAGCCATGCTTGTGTAACACCTGCCCCTGACCAATCCTCTGCACTGCAGTTTAACCAAGAACCATACTTCCACGCAAGGACAGGTACTGCAGAAACATTTACTGGCAATACAAATAGGAGGAAGATCTGAAGCACTTCGGCATCTTGCAAAATTCATTTCTTCTTTCCAAGAAAACGACTGAGAATAACCTAGGTCTGTTAATTACTGAATTGAAAGTTTAAACTACACAGCTGACACAGCCTCACACTGCCAAATAACTCCCATCAAGCGGCCACTCCTGGGCGTGCCCTGCTTTGACCTGCCACCCATTCACAGGATACTCTCTCTCTCTTCTCCGAAGCCGGCCCCGTCGGAGGCAGCCACCGTGTGGAGCTCAGACGAGTCTTTGGAAAGCCTGGCATAGCTGGAGCGCTGGCTCCGCTTGTGCGCCGCGCTCTTCAGGTTCTCGTTCTGGACCGTGCTTGAACCAGAACTTGAGCCAGGGCGCAGGATTATTTGAGAAGAATCTCGGATACCTTCTGTTTCTTCAAAATTTTGATTGGCCCTGTTGGTTGGAGCGCTGTTGTTATTTAGTGTTACCGTGCTAGGGGTTCTGTTTAAGTTATAGACTTTCTGGCACGCAGGCCAGTTCTCTTCTGGGCTGCTCGCTATCAAGCTGCTTTCAGAGGGGCTCTTCTTATCTTCTGAACAAATAGACATGCGAACCACAGCTGGATCCTGAAGGCCACTAAGGCTGTGCGGGATTCCTCGCTTTCCACTGTGACTGTCATCTTCAAGCTCAATGAGATTTGCCTTTTCTAGCTGGGAATCATCTGCTCCTTCGTTATGGAGGGAATGGTTTGGAGAACTTTCATTGGATCTTACGCCGGAGTCAGAGGAATCTTTTTTATCCAAAAGGGCATCCGTCAAATACTCCTTTGCCTTGATGAATGTTCTGATCGGTTCGGGTCCATGTTCTGGGGATTTGGGCTGCTTATCTATTTTGCCATCTGCTTTCTTATCTTTACCTTCCTTAAGAAGTGGAGTATTATCCGATTCTTCAGTTCCGGATTCATCTTCATCACTTGGAAGCTTCTGGTAGCGGAGCGTAACTCCCTTAAGCTTTATATCTGCAGCCTGGAAAATGCTTGTTCTTTCTGAGGACTTCTTTCCTGGGAGAAGCTTGGAACCAGACTGATCAGATTTTTCATCCTCTTCAGTAATAGGATCCAAAGGAGAAGCATCATTAGTAGAAACTCCTGACGTGCTGTAATCAACAACATCATTCCTCTTCAGCAGGAAGGACTTTCTTCCATCATCTGGTTTCTGTTCACCGTCTTTTCCTTTTTCTTGTTCTGCACTTGAATGCAGGGACCCCCCTGACGTGCTCTGCCCCATATAGAAGGCAGAGGAGCTGTGAGGGGAGGACCTGCCACTTACTGTAGTGGAATTAGCACCCCCTTCTAACTGTGACATTTGAGCAATATATTCTCTATACGCATCTCTATACTCAGCCTGCACCTTATCAGTGAGCTTTGATATTTCAATACTAGAATCTTGGGAGTTAAGACTTGAAAGACTTGGAGTTCTGCGAGTCTGTGACTGCAAAAGGGGGAAAAAAAAAAAAGAAAAAACAGTTAAAATTGTTCATTTTAACCTTCGTTGATCCTTTTAATTTAAAGAGCTGAAAAAGTCCAGCATGCTTGTAGGCAAATTTTTGCTGTGAACAGATTAAGCAAGATCATTGTAAATGCTATAACTAATCTTAAATATGTTTATTATAATCAGATATTTGCATTTATACCCTTTCACAAAAATTACAATAACTCATTTTTGTTGTATAGTCCCATAACAGAAGTTACACAACAAAACAAGTATTTTATACAATGCAACTGAGGTTGACTATAGACCTCTTGACTACAGACTATAAAAAATCTCAGATAGGCAAAATCTAGTGTTTCCTAAATACAGACAAACTACTTTCTCCTTTCTTTTGATTTAAACTAAGATACCTCCGTGGGCATTAAAAGCACTAATTAAATTTGCATTTTAAGTAATGTTTTAGAAAACTTTTTCTCATCCTTCCCCCTGTGATGTTCTTTCTTCACATCTTCTGTGACCAAAAAACAACATGCTACTGGCATGAAACAGGCCACTTGGTTTTGAAAAACATACATTGATACTCAACTGCAGAAGATGGTGATTAAGAGGTAAATCTTATCTAAGTGTATGCATGCCCGCACACCTACATAAGCTTATATATATTTATATACATATATATATATATATATACACACATACACAGAGGAGGGGCGTATATATACGCATCTCAAATCCCCTTCTAGCAATAACTTTGAATACTAACAAAAATACTATCTATAACTAATGATTTGGTGTGCGTTCCTGTTTTGTGATTACTTTAACATTTCCTGATTTGGACTCCTAAAATCAAGAGACGAAAATGTCTCTTGTATTTTAAAATGTATTGTATTTTAAATGTATTTTAAAAATGTATTTTAAAAATACTATTATTTACATACTATATATGTATTATTTAAAAATACTATACTAAAATACATGTATTTTAAAAATACTATTATTTAGATATTATCTACTCATTTATCTCATTGTGTTATTTCTAGTAATCAACCAGATCGACAAGAGTTCTGTCATGGATTTCACATACTTACGCTGATTTCTAAGAATAGCAAATAGACCACAACCTATGGCACAAACAGTATTTACAGGAGGACATCAACTGTGCAGTGCATGATTACATTTGCTATCACAGTACAAGGCTCTCATAGCACTGAATGGTCAACATATTTGTTTAAAAACAAATTAATAAATAAATCTGTTATCCTTAGAATGTGTGACCTCTGACTTGCACTCAGCTAGAATATTTCATGTTCATTCATGAAATAGTCTAGAATATTTCATATTCATGATTTCATATGATGTCTGAATACAATGGTTAGCAAAAACCTTGCAGGACTCTGCACCAAGCCAGATGAGTGTGGTGTAACAGCCGTGATGACAAATCATAGCTGTGGCTTTTTTTCCTGGAGAAAGCACTGCAACAGATGAATAGTTTTCAGATGGCAGAGGCTGGAAACTTTATTAGCAATTACAGTTAAGAGTTTATACCTCTGCAAAGCTTCAGTCTTTGGCAAGACTGAGAACTGAAAGCACATGAACTGCAGTAGACTTATTTCTTGACCTAAATCTAAGAATGGAAGAGAAACCTTATCACACAGGTAAGCAAGCCAGGCCCCCCTGTTAAATACCTGCCAACTTAAGTTACTGTGGCGCGGAGGAGCTTCGTCGAGGCCGATGGTGTTGAGCTCCTCGAAGCTGAAGTTGAGCGTGTAGGGGGCCTGGGCGGCCAGCGCCGTGAGCTCCGTGTGCGGCAGCTCGGCGCCGTGGCCGGCGCGGCGCGGCAGCTCGCCGTGCGCCAGGGCCGCGGCGCCGAGCTCCGCCGCGCCGCGCGCCTCCTCCTGGGCGCCCTGGCTTTCCGAGCTCCTCATTTCCAGGATCTTAATGGGAAAATAAAAAGCATGATGTCATCACATAATAGAAAAGAAAACTCTCAAAATAATTAAAAACTGGAAAAAAAAAAAAAACAAAAAAAACCCCACAGGTAACCAATTCAGTTTTAAAACTGTACTTCCCCTACACGAGAAAGATCTCGTTAAAGACCTAGGGCATTCATTCTTTATTGCAAATCACACTGTAGCACTTGAGATTTTTCTTTTATTTACAGACTATTCTTATTACTGTACAGACTCTTAAAAGAATTTATATGCCGTAAACAATTTTCAATAAATTCTTGTAAAACAAAGTGCTAAATCACAATTTTAAGAGCAGAAAACGAACACTTCAGTTTTACAGCTTTAATAAACTTGAATCTGACTATAAACGTCTTCCTGTAATTCTCAAGTGTTTTCAAGACTGATTTAGCAGTTCTGAGATGTACTGTAGTTTTCAGGAAGCAAATTGGCAGTAAGCTAAAAACACTCAGAGAAAACAAAAAATAGAAGTTCTGAGGGATGCATATCCCTCAACCTAAAACAGTCATTTACTCACAAAACGTGAGCAAGAAAGAAGGGAAATCAGCTACATATATATGCTTCAATATTAGTACTGAGTGCAGCTTTCCAAGATTACACAGCTATATGTAGATCTATTTCACTCCATGATTCGTTTTTAAACCTTAGTTTCCCTAAGAAATGGGGCTTATGCACTTGTTTGCAATGCATCTCTAAAAGGCTGGACTGTCTATCCCCTCTCTCAAATCAACTTGGAACTCCCCATCCAAGTTAACGGAGAGGCAGTGGTCTCAAAGAGGACTAAGCTGTGGCAATTTCATGAAAACAAGTAGCTGAATTCAGGAAAAGGAGGTAAGAATGGGGAAAGAAGGTGGCAGCCACCCATACAGGAAGGGAAAACCTTATAAAAAGAGGGAAAAAATTCAGCATTCACTAGCAACTACAATACAAAATCCCTGGGCAGCCAGCTCTCAGTTGAAGTGCTCAACACAAAAAGATGAAGCTACAGTCAATGCCCTCATATTTTAAGATAATTAAGAAATACAATCAGGGAGGAAAGAAAAAGTAAGGTTTATAACAAGAATACTAACTTAAGATTACTAGAATATTGAAGAGAAAAATCTTACCATGCTCCTGAACAGGTGCCAATCACCAAAATTCATATTCATTTCCTTCTTCAGTTCGTCAGTGTTGCACTGAGCCAAGACACGGCCATTTATATTTGCCTAAAATGATATAATTAAATACTGTAAGTTATCAAGACAAGATCTGTGGAGTAAGAAACCAACAGACTAACTTGGTAATTGAAGTTGCATGGAGTATAGTAGGGAAATTCCCCAAATATCCATTTTAAATCCAATCCCATATAATACATTTAAAAAGAATATTTACTTGTGATTGCTGATGGACTAGGATACATCACGGGAAGAATGTAATAGAAAGAGGAAAGGAACAGAGAATGGCTGTAGAATTTGTAATTAGTAGAATCAGTAATTCATCTTCCATGAAAACATGTTATTAAATTTATCAAACAAGGACCAGAAAGGCAGTGCATTCTATCAATTGGCATAAGGAAACAAGACACTAGTGGTAAAAAGTTTTTATAGACAACAAACTGCATCTACTGTCATAGTTTTCTCAAACAGAAATAGGTTCTTTTCCCATAGCTAAGTAGATAGTTTTAATCAAACCAGGAAAAAGTCCCGAATGAGTCTTTCTCATTCTTCCCTTTCAGATCTGGCCCACTTGCACTGAGAAATGCAAGAAGGCAAGTAAGACAGATCTCAAATGAGGTAACGTGCACATTCTTTCAGGACCCTGGGACCACTGGAAATTCTTGCAGCTGGGCATACCAAGCTGCACTCTGACTTTCAACATTTCTCCTCAAAAACTTAAGTGAAGGATCCATATTTTTCCTCTTCCTATGTATGGGGGAGAGGTAGAGAATGGTGAGAAAAGCAACAAAGACAGAAATAATTCTGTTTTAATGTGTCAGAAAAAAAGAGAGAGTAACAGAAATTGCTCATTGGGCTTGTCTGAAGCAAGCAGAGGTGGATGATGATAGGAGAGGAAGGGAATCTTCCTCACCACTCTGCCATACAACAGAGGAGATGTGCCAGTTTCTCAGAGATCTGCCACCTGGATATAGAATGCATTGACAACACACCTGAGCTACTGCTATCCCCACACAGTAGTTTTGAAATTATTTTTCATGTTTCTTTTCTCAAAATAAAACAGTCTCATCATCAGCAATCCTCTAATCCTCAGAACGGAATTTCTGATTCCTTTCTTGCAAGGGAGCACTATCTCTGAAAAACACAAGCTTTTCCTAAAAACGTGTTTCCAACTCAGTGTGTATGGAAGTAATAAAGTTTCAACATTCAGTGTAAATTTCCAAGAAAAAAAAAGGCTTCTGTCCAAGTATTGAAGACACCAGTGGCATTCAGCAGATACCTTTCTTATAGTTGCAGAGTACTGGGGGAGCATGGTCTGGTCCAGGCCATCTATTTGCTTGAGCTTCTCGCACACGGTTTCCACGCTCATTGTGCTCAGAGGCACGTGGGACGCTCCTGTGGTCGACCCTGGGCCTGCTCCTGCTCCCTAGAAGAAGTAAAAACAGATGGGTGAGAATTGTGCAGGCAGCCAGCACGCCCAGGGCTCCACAATGCAAACACAAATCAAACTGTGCAAAACCACATTTTTAAATTAACAAACAAGAACGAGGCTGGCCAGGCATCTTTAATTAATAACAGCATCTCTACATAGTGGGAAGCATTTATTTTGCTGTTTATATGGCAAATGACAAAGCAGCTTGAGTCTTACCTATGTGAGAAAATACACTCAAATGTTATTGAAGAAGAAAAACACAAAAAAAATAGAACTATGCAAGCGTTAATCTGTTTCAAATTCCTCCTCTTTTCTATTGATTTTAGTAGCTTGTTTCTTCTTTTTAAAATTTTGCATGTGATTTTGAATTTACTGTTTTAAAATTTCTGGTTTGGCGTTGGACAAAGATAATCTACAGCACAACTCACTGGATAATGTCACCAATGTCTGTCAGTTTTGCAGAGGTCCTTTCAGCTCCATTTATGCAAGATCACCTGGGAGCTGCAAGCCACCTTCACAGTAGAGAACTACAGGGAAACACTGCCACTGCCCTCCAAAACACTGAGCAAGTGTCATGTGTCTGCAGCTTTGGCCAGATTCAAGGGGAAATTATTCACAGTTCATATCTGGAAAATGAAAGTTGCCCTGATAATGTCGCCAGCTTCTAAGCATTTCGAAGGAAGTGCAGAAAGAAAATAAATGGACAAGTAAATGAGGCTCTTAAGACAGTATGTCCTCCAGGAAGCTTGTCTCTCATGGACAGAAGCTTGTGCATTAAGCAGCATGAAGTGCAAAGCTCTAAACAGCTGAGCTAGTTAGGCCAAATTACTGACACCAAAGCCAGAGCTCGTGCTATCAGCAGCGAAATACTTGTACCCACTTCTCTAGGACATGAGGGCTGCCCTCTCCCTAGAGGATCAAACTTTGCAGACCATACATAGGAAAGAAGCTCATGTGGGAGGCTGCAGAAGAACTTCTGAAGCTTCAGAGCTGCTCATCACATGAGTAAACCTTGGGATGTAAAAGTTAATTTTGAATATCCAGAGTTCAAGTTTGACTATATTCCTCATTCACCACTGAAGACTATTTTTATAGTGCTAATACATTTTCCCCCATTTCTATTTAATTACTCCAAAGCTATTTAGCTTCCAGAATTAATATGAGTGCCAAAGATGTTTACCAATGAAAACAAGACATGTATTATTCTGTTGAATAATATTAGCCATATCTAAATTGTCTAAAACAGGATTTTAGAAGAATCGACTTAACTATTTAAATTTCAAATCAGCAATCCAAAATCTCATTCTCTGCTACCATTTAACCTGAGAGTTATTTAAAATCAATCATTTTTAGAGACGTCTTGCTCTGGGGAGCCAGGCATTTTTCCCACCTAAGCTACCCAGAGCTGCACTGTTTAAATGCCGCTAAATGCAGCTGTGTTCAGTTGCAGGTGGGCTTGAAGGGCAGTTAACACAGGCAAACATTTCTGGTCACAAGAACTGGAGGGCTCTGGGCCTAGAATTAACACACTTAGGTGGAGACAGATCCAAGGCTCTAACCTTTGCTTTGGTACCATGTATGTATTGGCATTTAATACAAATAAGACACTTCAGAAACAAAAGATGCATCCCCTTTTTTCTAGGTAAGAACTCTACTTAAAATACTGCATAAAATGTAAGCATTCTGCTTGCACTAGAATCGGGGCACCGAGCACCTATTTCTTGTGCAGACAAGGCAATTTCTCTTCAGATTCTCCAGTGTCTCCCTAATTAGGTACCTGTAACACCTGACCAGTTGGTATACTAGGTGCCTGTAACACTTAACCAGTGTTGTATTTAGGGGCCTGCAACACCTAACCAGTTGTTCTATTAGAGGCCTGTAACACCTAACCAATTGTTACCTTAGGGGCCTGAAAGAGGAAGTTTAGATCTTTGTTAAGCTTAATTTTTAGCATAACTAAAATCCCCATCACGTTAAGGATATAAGCCAACGAGCAAAAGATGATGACAGGATGAAATTTCAACTATTTACTGCATTCCTCTTAATGCAAATCTATGTTTTTTCTTTTTTTTTTTTTTAAACTCTTTTTAACTTTTCTTCAGATTACCAAATGGTTTTGTCTATTGTTTCACCACACATGAGTTAGATGATAATACATCAATAAACACAATTTGATAGTTAATTCAAAAAACTGTTGATTTTTTTTTTTGAAAGAGAACTTATCAATTAAAGTGAAAAAAACAATTACAGCCAAAAGGAGATTATGGCATTGCTCAAGTAAATGATTCCAAAGCAATGTGTGGAATTTCAATAGCCTTTGTTCCCTGGATCTATTAAAACAGTACCTATTGTTAGCCACAAATAAATGTAGAAAAGTTTTAAGCACTTCTAATTTAACAGTTCTGCTTTAAATTAAAATACTTCTTTCCCAGTCAGAGGCAAGTCATTATTTCTGCATGCATTAGGAGTTAGTTTAGAAGCTGTTCTTTCTGTGTATATAAAAGTACACGAAAAAGTGCTAAAATATTTAGACTATTTTTGTTAAAGTGTGAACTGTTTGAAATAGACACATATTAACCCAAATCATTCATTTTGTAAAGAACTGTCTGAAGAATAAGTAATGTAACAGCTTTAGGGATCTCGTCATCGCATAAGTGAATTAAAACTCCACTTAAACTGACACATTTTTCAGCCTTGGTGGTTTTGCTCCGGATGCTTAGGGAACATTAGCCTGAGCAGGAGTTGCCATGCAAAAGCTAAAAGCAGCTTGTCAAAACAAACCTCGGGGCTAGTAATGAGCATTAGTTTAGAGACAGCCCAGCATGAAGTGCCCGTGTGACAGCTCCTGAAATGGCTCTGGCAGGAGGCAGCGGTAATTCCCGGGAAGCGGCTGTACCTGTCGCTGGCTACACGGCTGCCGGAGAGGCACGAGACACAGCGGAGAGAAACAACAACTTCGAGTGACACAGCGAAACACACAAGGGCAGGTAAAGTACAAGAGACATCAAGGTAAAGGCCACATGCATTCGACTTCATCAGCAAACTGAGACAGAACGCAATGGTTTTAAGACCTTCGTAAAACACTTGTAGTATATGCTATACAATTTTCCTATGAAAAGTCTACTATTTTTTGCACTTGCAAAAAAAAAAAAACCCAAATTCTTGCTGCATTTCATTTGCAGGAAAGCTTTGCCTTGTGTTTCTGATGGAAAACTGCCGGTAAATGAAGATTTTCTGACCACTTTAAGATTACATTATATTACCAATGTACCTCAGTTAACTACAGAACCTTATTATCTAAGCATGCAAAACACTAGAATGGCAAAGGTATTTTTAAGAGCAAATAGAGTGAATATTAAAAGCATAATACTGCCACAATAAAGCATCTGGAAAACTCCCATACTGCCAACCTTTGGTCATGCTCAAGCTTTAGAAAAGCATGTCAGGTTTCTTCAAGGCCCTTCTAGAATTATCTACATGCAAGGGGCCATTTTAGTTCTCGTTGGAAGAACACAAACTGTATCTTCAGGCATTAAAAATTAAATGTAGTATGAAAAAAAAAGGTATTTAAAACAGTGTAATTATATTGCAACGAGCCATATCCTAATGCATCGTAATTAACAATGCAAACTAAAATGGCCAACTAAATTCATTACAGGCAGGCACTACCAACGCTAGCTCGACTTCTGATAGGTATTAGTAGATGCTATGGACATATATTGGCAACACTATAACCCAGTGACAAAAACACCACAGAAGTTCCTACAGGACCTGTTCGAAACAATAACGTGTGCAACAGGGTGAGCAGCAGGGGCTGTTTTGCCCTTTTCTTGAGAAAAATCATGAAGATTCCATGGGAAAAATGAAAAATAGAGTAGTATGGTCTAGCTATTAACCCTGTATGTGCCAGGTGGTTGGACTAGAAAACTTCTGGAGGACCCTTCCAACCTTAAGCATTCTGTGATCCTATGGTAAGAACTGATGTCACATGGCTCATAGGTCCCTTGTGGTAGGACAGGTAGGGCCCACACTCACTTACTGCTTTGACATCCAAGTTTTGCTTCATTAAGTAAACAGCAGTTTCTCTTGGGGAAAATTAAATACGTTTCCTCAAAAACTAAGGCTTGAGACTGAAAAAAATCTCATTATGAAAAACAAAATTCAAATAAGGAAGGTGACAGAAGGCAAATTATATAGTTCATTGATGACAGCTCTCAATCTATTCACAATGCATTATGTTCTTTTAAATGGTCCTTATCTTTATACCAATGTAAATCTACCAATTTTCATTAAACTAATCTAGATCTACATTAACTTCACAAGCCAAGTGCTTAGGACTTGAATTTTAGAACTTGACCAGTTCTAATGTCAGACCAAAATCAAGGGCAAGGGCCTTACTCTCTAGTTTCTGTTGCTGATCCTGTATTATTTAAGCACACAAAATAAGGATTCTTCTCTACTTGGCTATTCTAATTCTATGGCAACACTTCTGGCCACTCACCAGGCTTGCGTGAAAGACAGTTTTGATTCTACATGTTCTTCTCTTTTCCAGTCATCAAACCAGTGGCAGCCCTTTGCATTCATTAACTATTTCATACATCTTTTTAGCTCACTTCATTGCTTTGTAAGCATCAATTCATGTATTGAGGTATAAGTAAAGGTGTATCGTGTATAGCAGCAATGATCCATCAAATGAGAGCGTCCTAAATAGCTGGATAAAATTACTGTATCTATCACCCATATAGCTGGATGAAATTACTGCACGCATCATCTGTGGATAATTGCAGTGCCTCAAACACTAATACTGTTCCCTTTCACAGAAATTTGAAGAAAGTCTGCAAAAGAAGTGTGTTCAAAAAGGGGTAAAATTCTGATGGGGCATCCTAGTACCCAGTCCTGACTAACACCATCTTTGTGAAGAACACAAGAGATTTTCAAAGAACCTGGGATAAGACTAAAAACATTCCAGAATATTTCTATTTCCACTGCCGAAAGTGGCCAAAATCACAAAGAATTCCTATTTATTTTTACGATGTGGCTTGGTTCATAAGAAGTCAACAACCTTCTATGCTGCACTACCCAGATTCACAGTAGTAATCAGAATTGTAAACAAGGCCTAAAAATAATAAAATCTTTTATTGTTATTTAACAACAACAACAAAGTTAGTGATTTAACTCTTTATTTTCCCACATGCTGCCAGTGTATCACATAACTTGGATGTATAGCTTCATATAGTTTGAAACAGCAGGTTACACATGCTGAAGATGCAGACTCAGGGCAATAAGTACCCACCAGGCCTGCCCTGGGGCAGATGTCTGCCTTTGCCCTGAGACTCCTCCAACCATTCCCAATTTCTAACCCCATCTCCCCACTCCCACACTCCCTCCAATCTCCAGGCCAGCATTTTCTCAAAAATCCTTTCATTTTTCCCTCATATTGGCAAGCTGCAAAGGGCTGGCGTAGAGGCTGGATGCTCCAATAAGGACCCTAACATGGGGAAGGCACCAACAGACCCAAAACATCTTAAAGGACTTCTCCTTTAAGGACTCCTTTAAGAACAGACTTAAGTACGTTCTCTTACTCCTTAAGAGACTCTCCTTTAAGGAGAAGTCCTTCAAGAGGTTTTTGGAGCTGCTGATGCCTTCCCCCCAGGTCACCCCTTCATCCAAGGTACCAACGACCCACGAGAAGAATAAGTAATTGAGGTCAAGCTCCAACTGTGGCCAACATCTACTGGCAGCAAGCTATTCAGAAAATGATTAAAACTACATTAACCTTTTGCTTTGGCAGTATATAAAAATGTATTAACTTTTTGCTTTGGTAGTAAACAGTAAATGATAATTTTCCACTGATTTCCACGGTTACAATAAAAAAAAAGATACCTGTAAATAACACATCTTCGTGTGAGTATTTACGATAAAATAAAGACAAGTCGTGGAAAAGAAAGACGTTAGCATGCTGACTTAAGAATCAGCTTATGATCTAGACTTTTTTATTATTATAGTTGTTTTTATGGAAAGTTCTTTGTACTTTATGAACAGCAACAGCTTTATAGCACCAACCTAGAAAGCAGGGATGACTTTAGGTGTCACTTTAGGTGACTAAAGGAGGAAAGAGATGCAGGCCAGCTACTTCAGTCTAGAAATCTCAGTAACGAATGGCCCACTGCCATTCCTTACTCCATCTAGCTACCACAACACTCTTCATGGAAAACTCTCCACAGCTACCAGGAAAGGAAAGCAGAAACTACAGGGGAAAAATATAATACACCATATAAGTGAAATATTAGCTCTTAAATTCGCTCACGAGCTACATTAGTCTTCAACTACTCTACCTATTTGCCCACCAAAGCCATTGATGCAGTGTTAGTGACTGCAGTTACGATTAATGCAGACTCATTACTGCTGAGAAAGCAATGAGATGCTATAATTTCCACACCACATGACTACTCATTTACCATCGAGGGGTCTGTGGGTGAAGAAAGACCCTCATCAGCATCCTCCTTGATAACATCCTAACAACAACAAAATATTACGGTTCGGGTAAAATGATTAAGAGCTCAACAAAAATATGAAATAAACAACGAATGAGAATGATCTCATAATAATATAGAATTCAACAGAAACAATTATGTGATTAAAAAAATAAAAACCTTTTAACAGCTTTGTTCAATGGGTCAATATTCTAGAATTAAAGCAAACAACAAACGAGGTTTTTAGCTCATTTCTTAGCTCTCCTTAGCTCATGCTTCCATTTAAACAGCAATCTATGTCAATAAAATAAATATTGTTAATAGGAATTTTATTCTATAGGAACCTAGAAGTGTGTTCGTTCTTACTTTTTAACAAATATATAAAGGTGAACTGTACGTACTTAGAAGAAAAACTTATAATTGATACTTATACATACTTATCATAAAATGTATTTTGTTTTTTTTTTTACTTGAACACTAAAAAAAATCACTTAGGCCTTCCAATTTCTTGCACTCTTTGCAAAAGCGAAAGGTGCCATTTTACTTCCTCCCAACATGCCAGAAATTTATTACTGTAAAATTTGCACGTAACATTTACAAGTGGCATTCTTTTTCTCATGCAACTACACCACGTCCATTTATTTCCTGCACCACAGTTGGTGCTGCCATGAAAACATTTTCCTGACAGCCTTGCATGTCATACTCCTCTAAACTTCTGAATTCTGAAATTAAATCTGAAGGATTTAATTTTCTTCTGCCAATAATTCTTAAGGTTAAAAACAAAATACATTTTACATAACATGTTTATTTAAAGTATTTATCAAATAAAGCTTCTACTTGTCTAGTACTGAATCACCATTAATGAGCTTCACTTTGCATTACTCACTCTACTTATTGTCTAGGTTAGTAGGCGAATTACCCTTCAAAATACTTACTAGGCCATTGTTCTGATCCCTGGACAAACTCGTTTTTAGTGGTGGACGTGAGATGAGATGAGAACTGCCAGGGTAATACCTTGGCATGTAAAGGTATGGGGCAAAGAATGGCTATGGGAAAAAAAAAAACGTAACAAAAAAGGGACAAACAATTACACAAATCAAAACGTAATACTAAAACAAAACTTTTTTCAACAAAAACACATCCAGCTAATTCATAATAAACACTGCAATTACTCGCAGCTTTCTTTACTTTTTGCATTGAATAGAATTCAGTTCTGAAGTGAAACCCTCAAAATCCCTCAGCAACCGTTCCCAAAACCTATGGGTGCTCTGGCATTGGCTTTCCTGAAGAACGGAGTAAAAATGTTTCTGATGGTCACACTGTAGCATCCAGTCTGAATACAGGAAAAGGACTATCTCAGAACTACTAAAATCAAAACTAGATGTTCAGTATAATTTGTAAACTTTCATAATACCCAAGGCAATAGGTACTATACATTTTTTGTACGATTGGCATTACCACAACTTCCAGCACTCGTCGTAGCCATTCTGGAGGGTTTTTTGCTGGAAGTAACATTACAGCAGACAATAACTGACCTTTGCTTTGTTTTAAATATGCCAATACATATTGTTCAATCTACGTATCATTTTAAATGACAATGTTAATTATCAAACATATGTCTCAGAAACATTTTTCACACAAAAATATTTCTTTCTCCACAAATATCAGTTAAGTGTAATTACACTTGATGTTACCATATCCCTTCTTACTCTCTTTTGCAAATGAATTTCATGAAAACAAATTCAGAATATCCAAAAAGACTTAAGAGCACATCAGGGTTAGGAGTCCCAGTGGGAAGTTAGGCTATTGGTGGCGCTTCATGAATTCACCTGAAGTCAAAATTACCAACAAATTCCTGTCTGAACAAAGCCGGTTTCCCTCCACGTGTGGTAATAAACTTGGTGTGCATCTCTCCCAAAATTCACCAAATGACATCAGCTTTATTTAAGGACACACACTCCTTACATGTGCCTGGAATGCCACTCACTGGCAACAGTCGTGCGTGTGTGTAACTCGTGGGCTTCACAGCTGGCAACGAAGATTAAATACAAAAAAGCGCAAGCTACTTTTCCAGTATCATGGAATTTTGTCTTATCTGTGAATTTTTGAAGTCTGTAAAATTAACACTTATTTTACTCTTCCTTTCTTGAAATAAAAGATTTATCTATTATCTATTCTCTTTTGGAACAGTGCAATATAGTAGTAATTACAGGATCCTCAGTCTTCAGGAGAAGTAAAAATAAGAAATTCATTGCTTTTAATTCACTATGCAGTTCTTACAAAATATGCATTTTTTACTGCAGATTTCTGGTATTTTTATATATAACATTTTTAAAATTAGATTATCTAGCTATTAAAAACAGCAAATATTACTTGGCCTGTGTTTCTGCACATGACAAGCTTCTGAGTGGTCTATGCACCACATTCAGAAGAGAGCAAAACATTTTAGCAAATGCTGGCAAACACCCATCTATGGTGGGGAAGAAAAAGAGCAATTACCCATCTGCCAAGGGGTGTAATTTCTTGAAATACTGCACTCCTCTAAGAGTTAAAAACACACAAAATAAAATAAAATATCAAAAAATGAGAACAATAAAAAACCTTCTTTGCATTGAGGCAGCTGACCTGAGAAATAAAGGTCTGATTATGCAGCAATAGCTCGAACAGCACATGCTACAACTTTGAGCAATTTATGGAAAAGCTCAAAAGGCCCCATTTTTGCACTCTCTCCGATGTGACTATCACAAAAACTTCACCTGCTCTTCCAACCCATGACATGTTTTGCAACCATCCGTCTAAATGCAGAATTCCACGTCACAGCTGCCGTTCCCCATGAACTTTAAACTAACAGAACTCAACAAAAACTGTTGCTGGGAAATAAAAATCACATGACTACTCCCTCTGCTTATTCTCATCATGTGTTTCATCACTACCCAAAAAGTGACTAATCACTTTTTCTCTCTACCAGAAAAATAATCCGTTTAAATCCATTTCTATAATCTATTTAAAATCACATTTTTTTTTTTCCCCTGGCAAGTGTGCTCTTATTGCAGATTACTTGCCCAGCTGCTTTTTTGGGGGGCCACCTAATGCCCAAGGCTGCCTCAGGACAGCAGAATGTTTCTCTCAGGCACATGCAGATCCAAGTTCTCATATCTAAATTTCCTTTCATTTTCTGCAACTTTCTCTGGCCTGTGTTACCTCAACTGCATCTTGAGGACCAAGTAATAGTGATCAGCAGCAGCAAATTACCTCCACCAAGACCTGATTTTATGAAATGCATCATCACTGTGTTGTGTTTGTTTTTTTGAATCAAGATGCACAGAATTTGTGCTGTGATGCAGAACAAGCCTTCACATACTATAATTTCTAGTTCTTACCCTGCAAAATCCCAATTAGACTGGCTTTCCCATAAGACAGTGGCTTGTCACTTCCACAGGGGTTTGTGATAACAATAAATTTGGGAAGCTGAACTGAAATCCAGCTTGTAGCCCGGGAATTAGATAGAATTGGGTGATCTCACAGAACCTTATGTTACTACTAGGGAGAGTCTGATCTTTTATTACTATTTAACACAAGAAGAACATTCTTAAAAAAAACTTGAGAAGTGCAAGTGTGACTCAAAGTGCTAAAGGAATGAGGAGTGGGCACTGCGAGTAACTGCCTTGCAATCTAGATTTTCTACTATCATCATTGCTTATCTCAACATTTATCCTGGTACACGGTGTACTCCACCAAGGAAGTGAACAAATATAGCTCTTTGCCTCTCTTTGGAAGTCTGAAACAGATTTTAAATGACTGTACCTTAGAAGAATGGTACAAAATTCCAGAAAGGCCAAAATAGTAACATTTTTGTCCTTAGCAAGAAAAAAAATAAAGGAAAAAGTATATATATTATTACTTATATTCATAAGTAATACAAATGAACAGATAAGATGACAGTAAAAACATTTATGACTCAGCAATAGTTGGTTTTGTACTGGTTAAAAGGGCCAGAAAAAACTAAGTTTCGTGTGTACTACCACATATTGCAAGCCTTGTCATGTACAGGAACACAGACACAAAAGCAGCACTTCCAAATGAATACCCACAAGTTTGATTTATTACAGCCATAAAAACTGATGTGATGAGTTTTTAATGAGCACTGCACTACTTCAGAGAACACGGCGGCTTATTTTCAGCACAACATAATATTGTCACTGAATTGAGCAAACATAAAAATAATTTTACAAAAGGTAACTTAACAGGTTCTGTGCTAAAAGTATTATGTTTTCTCCAGTCAATAAACATCAATTTAGGAATAACCTAGTTTTCATTTTTTAGCTTGTTTTTAAAATTCACTCTCTATGAAACCTCACTATTTAAAGCCATTTCTTGTATACTTTTGTAGATAACGACTTACATTAGATTTCTGAACACTTTCTATTTGACGGCACTCCAGAAAAATGTAAGAGTTAAGTTTAAAAAAGGCGGAATATATTCTACAAATATCAAAAGTTACAGGGTACGTGGGGCACATGCTGAAATTTTAAACTGTAAACAAAATTATTAGAAACACCATTAACAGTTTAACTGATGAGAATTTGTGCTTAGGTTTAACTACCATCTGCTGATTACTATTACAAATTTTGATGTAAACAGACCAAAAAGTCATTCTTATTAACCAGTGTCATTTAATAATCACCCACACTTAAAACTTTCAGATTGAACCAATGCTAAAAACAGTTTTTCTAATATTCTTTAAACTCAACTCCACTTCACAGTAAAACATTTAAGTGATTTTAAAGTGAGTCATGCCTAGAACTATGTTTTCGGAGGCCCACAACTAACTGAATTGAAAAAAAAATTAAGAAATGTATAGCTTATGCAAACTAGGTTGTTGCTTGGTGGAAAAGGTTAACTCTATAGGATAACTCAAAGGACAAGACAAAACAGAAGACGCATCTAGACACACTGTGTTGATGTAGTTTCCTCCCATTAGTTTCTGTATAATTTAGCTTGTTTTTATATCACTAAAAAAGGGCAGGATTCTGAGCAGTCATGTGAGCAATGCTGCAAAGTTTGCCAGAAAAAAAATCAACAAAATCTCCTGTGTCTCAGCATTCGATAGTGTCTCAAATATATCATTTTTCATCATTTTTGTCATTTATTTCTGACGCAATTTACTACGTATAGTGAGGGACAATTTTTGTTTTGAAACTTACCAACTTTTGGTCTTCTTTTAAATGCAATTTTCATTTTTTATATTACATATTTTATATTATATATAAAAGAAAACAACATTCACAGTATTACAAAATTCAATCATAAGAATATAAATTAATACTAAATTATTTACCCGATTGTAGAATGGATGCTGAGGTCCTGTCATACCACTATAGTAACTGCTATGAGGTTGTGGTGATAAAACCCCGTTATTGAAAGGTCCATTAAAAGAGGCTGTGGAAGAGCAAGCTGAAGAAGGCTGACTGAACAGAGACGTTGCTCTAGCAGGGGCCTCATGGAGAGGCAGCGTGGGATAAGGTAGTCCTCCAATATTCATTTGATCCCTTGCTGCACGAACATCTTAAAAATAAAAAGGTTAAAAACAGTTTTACTATCAAATACCTGAAACAGTGTCAACTTGTTGCCAAGTACCTTTTTGTGTATTTAACCCTAAGTAGAACTCCGTAAGTAGAAGGCAGGATGACACTTTCAGCTGCTCAGCTCTTGTTTCTTGAGCACTACACCTACACGGTCATTCTCAGAAGAGTTGGGATAAATTATTGTAAGAGTTTATGTAGACCCCTAAACTCCTCCAAATGCACACGCGCGTGCGTGCGCGCGTTCTCTCTCTCTCTCTCTCTCAGGAGACAGCACAAAGTTTTGAAAAAATCTTACAAAAGAAGTAGGGAGAATAAGAAAGTGTAAATGTAAATTCTTGCAAGACCAAAGTTTAATGAATTTTTTGCAGTGATTCAGCATTCAAGCATATGGACTGATGAACAAATGAGGATTCTGTGAAATGTGCTGAGTAGCTCTCATTTTCCATTTCTTTGGGTATATACTTACCTGCAATGATTTCTCGTAGCTTTGGATCCAAATTTACAGTACATGGCAAAAAGGTTTTTACATCACGTGCTACAAGAACAGGCGTTCGTGAAGATAAGAAAACCTCAAAGTTCCGTATGTCTCCATCAATTTCGAGTAGAGGTTCAACGTCTTTTGTTGTAGGAATATTCTTTGAAATTCTGAAAAAAAACCCAACAATTAGATAAACCTCAAATAAATCACATTTAACAGAGTATGACTTCCATTTGCAAGATGATATTCTATAGATAAACACAATCCAATCAAGTTTCATCTACTTGTTCCCTAAAAAATAAAGAGAATGTGTGAATATTTGCACCATCTGCAGAAAAAATGTAAAACTTTAAAAATGAAAGGACACAGACCTCCATGGAATCTTGTCTCATCGTATGCTGCAGAGAAAGCTCTAAGAAATCATACGGAAAATTAAAATCAGATGATCAGATGAGGAATTTACAGACTAGCAGCATTAGAGGAAAGAGTTATGGAACTACACTGAACCACTAACCTCTAAGATTCATCCTAATTCTGGTATCTAATTCAGAAATTCCATGGTAAAAAATATTTCTAAGCTAGTATTTTTGGCAATAGCAATGCTCAGGCATTTTACAATCACAGAAGGGCCGAGGCTGGAAGGGACCGTTAAAGATCATCTAGTTCAAAGCTCTGCACAAACAGGGCCAATAAGAACATGTTGCATGGGATCACCTCAAGGCACCTTACAAGTATCTCCAGAGAAGGAGACTCCACAGCCTCTCAGGGCAGCCTGTGCCAGCTGCTCTCTTAACTTCTTGGCTATGGAAGTTTCTCCTCAAATAGGCAGAACTTTCTCTGCTTCCATTTGTGGCTATTGCCTCTTGTCCTATCAAGAGGACACCAGGCAGGCTCCATCCTTTTGGCACCCTCCCCTACGGGATCTCCTCTCAGCCTTCTCTTGAGGCTAAGCAGGTGACACAACTCCCAGCCTCTAACAGTGATCTTCACCTCAAGATGTCAATCATAAGGTAAACATTGATCAGAAATACACAAATGTCTTTATTTAAACATCATAAATTAAAAAAAAAAATCTAATAGAGACATTAGCTAAGCGTATTTGACTACTCTAGACATGAAAATTTAAACTGGCAAAATGTAAACTAAGTCAGGGACTGAAGAGTTAAAGAGCAGTCTACTCCAACATTGAAATCTGAAGGAGAAAAAAAAAGCCAAAAGAAAATGTGACATAGATTTAAATAAAACACACAGTTGATGAATCACATGAAGCAAATTAGCTGCATTTTAATGCCAGTTCTGCTTAAGTCTGAATGTGAACAGTGTTCTGAATACGATGAACAATATGACTGTTGAGAAGGCGCTAGCCACTGCTGGCTTGGATATTGAAGTCTGTATTCTAACCTCCCGAGGTCAATGCCTTGAACTACGGGATTGAATGAATTATATAAATGATAAGGCATTTCTGGCAAGGAGCCACAGAAGCAGCCTACGTGCCTGTTCTTCTCGGATTTAAGAAAAAATTTTATTTTAAAGCAGTTTAGGGGTTACTTTTTTCAAAACATAAGCATTATATACCCTCACTTTGGGGCAGGAATTTTCTCATGGAAAAAAAATAGTCTTTAAATCACAATAACCAAAAATCGTCAGTATCACAGTGCCATGTTTTCACATGAAATTACTTGCATTTAGAAGGAATGGGTCCAAAAAAGAACCTTACAGAGACAGAATAGAATCTTAAGAATATTATTCATCATGTTTTCTTTCTGAGAGCAACTGAAGTTAAAAATTGCTCTCTGTGTGACTTAAGTGTGACTTATGTTATACTCCCACATTGATGAATTATTCCTGCCTTTTTCTTCTAATAAAAATAATTTATTGTAAATGCATACAGGTACACCATTTGATCATTCATTCAGAAGGCTCAACTTGCTCTGCTTTTTATGTTTTTTTGTTTGTTTGTTGGATTGTTTTCTAGTTTATCTTTATCTATCTTGCATTTTTGTGCCTGGTTTGGGAAACGGCCATCAGAGTAGAACAGGCAGCCCATGGAGCCCGACTGCCACTCTGCAGTGCACGTTGCCAGAGAAGATGGAGAACACCACGCCGCCATGTTAGAGAGGATACAGCCTTCATCTTCACCTCTGCTGCAGGAGATGGTCATGGCCACAATGTTGTCCTTCAGCACACAGCAAGCAGCGGGTAAAGAGATAGCAGCAGCAGCCCTGACCACCTTCACTGGCACCAAAGGGCTGTACTGAGCCCCCTCTCCCTGTTTGCTTGGGTTTCGTCAAGCCAGGCCAAAGGCCTTGGTCACTTCCTCCCTGCCAGGCCTGTGGCTGCTGCCGGGCCAGGGGTTGGGCCGCCTGCACTCAAAGGCCCTGATCCCACGCCAAGAACCCGGAAAAGACCCTTGTGATGAGAGCTGTGAGGAGCCTATTTAAAAACAGCTATTTAAAAAGTCCGCCTACAGCTGTAGGTAGCAGGAAATCTCTCTTTGCAAAACTGTAACTATCCAATCTGAGTAGTAGACAACACACTCCCTTCTGACTGCTGCAACTTTTGATCATTTTGGAAAGAAAAAACATTTTGATCCTTAAAAGACTGATGTTTATTAAATCAGCCTCCCATCCACACTGTGGTGCTCTGCCACTGAGCCATGTTATAAATATCAAGTTTTAATTTGACTTTCTAGGATATTCTCTAAACCAGAGCTCATTATCATTAAAAAAAAAGGGGAGCATTAATACAGTTACAAACGCCTGGATTCACTCACGGCTTTACAGTGGCCTTTGAATTCAGACAAAAGAATGAGAAAAATAAGCACTTTCATTATACAGCAGAAAGTGGTAAAACAGAGTAGCACGAAGCATCCAAGACTGCTGAACAGTAAACAAAAAAAAAGTAATTATGGCTTGCTAGCTGGCACATCCAACAAGATCGCTCACACCAGCAAAATACAAGCAGATACTAGAATATTAGTCTGTATTTGCATTATTGAATGGCAGGTACTAAGCTACTCTACAACCTGATGCAGGGATTTCTTTAGCCAACATCTGCAACTGTGGGACTACAGAATTTCAATAAATGTTGGCAAGTCTTACGGCATCAGGTATCACCACGGTCCACCCTATTCTCTCCTAAAGATGCCACTCCTGATTTGTACCATCAGGGCACAGATAATTAAACTTAGGACAAGGCTAACGGGCAGCTCTCCTCCATTTGTCCCCAGCAAAATCCACATTTACAAAGTCCAAATTCCACTTCCCAGGATAAGCTGTACACCAACCTGCCGATCTATTATAAATACTATCCAGAAATGGACAGCAAAAAGATAAACTTGCTATGACATTAATTTCTACAGGTTACTTACTAAAAGAAAGTCAACCAGGACAAAATCAATTTTGCTTCCTTTACATATTTCATTACCTGGACTACTGCTCCTTCATCTTGCCTTTTTGAAGCAGCCTCCTAGGACAGTACTGACTTACTGAGGCAAATTTATTGCACTGAAGGGAATATCAGAGCATCAGTATCCACAGCAACTGCTACTCCATGCTGATGCTTGCTTGGTACGCTCTTACATCAGGATAAGAGGCAAGAATTTTTGGAATATGAAGCAAACCTTGTGTGTCCTCATTTTTTTCTTACAAAGACGTCCATCAACGCAATGTGTTATCCCAAGTTGTATTTGGCAACTTCAGTATTTCCAGAGAAGCACCCAAATCACAAGGATCAATTAAAACAGATTCAAAATAAAAGTATGTTCTGGAAATCTTGTTTATTGGGGTTGCTAAAATTGAGGTTTATTAAATTAAATTAATTTATTAAATTAAGGTTGCTAATATTAAGTGTTCTGTTTTAATTAGTTTCAATCAGTAAAGTTCAGAAGGGGTTAAACTATATACATTAGCATTTTGGAAAGCTGTCATTAACATATATTAACTATATTTTAAGCATTTAAAGATTTACTTTCAGTGTAAATCACCTTCCCTTTAGGGAAGTGATTTAGAAATACGAATTATTACTCCAAGATGAATAAGAGAATCACATAAAAAGTTCTAAGGATTCAGAAAACTTGCTCTGCTTTGCTCAAATAAGCTCTTTGCTCCAAACCTTTTCCTCTCCCTAGTATCTTCTCATCTGAACTTCCTACATTCTCTGCTACTTTTTCAAGTCTTGCCTCACACAGATCCACCCAGGCAGCACACAGTTTGGGAAGGAATGATATCTTATCTATTAACATCAAGACCCCACAATTAGCACAATAATAAAGAACAAGGTAACTTCATGTGTCTTGTTTTTTTAAACAGGACAACAAAAGGAAACCAAACAACAGAAAGGCTAAATATTTAAAAGTAATGCTTTACTGTGAGGTCTCTGAGAATATTAAATTGCCTATTTAAAAAAAGATTTATTTGAAACTAGTCTAGCAGATTATTACTGGGAATATTATCAGAGTAATGAATGAGGCACTTTCTGTAGCTTTTTTCATCATTAATTTCTATAATCACTAAAAAGATAATCCTAAATTAATACAGCAATAGATTTGATACAACCAGCAAATTCCTCAAAAGTCAATTTTACCCTCTCTATTAAGAGGTATTTAAACAGTGTCAAAACTGGAATTAACATGACAACCTTTCAGAAAAGTTACATTTTAAATGAACTTACCCAGCTTTAACACTGCTAGAGATTTGCTGAAAACATGTAAAACAATTTTTAGAAAGGATAATTTAATAGATACTTGTCTAAAACACTGTAATGGAAAAGGAGACAGATAATGCTTATCTTCAGGTTTTATTTTATTCTTTTTCTTCTTACTTATGTATATTAACAAAAAACCTTCAAATGATTTAGACAAAAGCTTTTAGCTCAACACATAATTGCAACAAAATTACAATAATTGTACCAATTAAAATAATCCTGAATGAACAGTTTGTCATCTTAATGTTCCGATGGTTTATAGAAGGATCTACTTAATTAGCTGAAATTGCTTTCCAATGTTAGTATCAAATGTCATTTGTTAAAAGTTGAACGATTTCGAAAATAATTTAACAAAGCAATTCTACAAAACACCAAGAACCAACATTTTCTTTTCAGCTGAATAAAGCAAGCAGATGTGTCATCAAATTGCTATAAAAATAAATGAGGCTTTATATGAGGAAAA